ACCCTGAATAGGGTTTCCGAGGCTGTAAATCTTTACGGGAGCAGATCGCCTCATCTTTCTCCCGCGGAGCAGCTGGTAGTTTTGAACTGCTGACCTTCCGGTTCGCAGCCCGATTCGTAACCACTACGCTAAAGATTGCCCCTAGAGTTCTTTAATCTCACTATACACCCTGATGGAGTTCTGGTGTGGCGCTGTTGGATAAGCCCTGGACCACAAGGTTGGTTTGAACCGCAAGGTCAGTGGTTAAAACACACCAGCCGCTTCTTAAACACCCTAGGCAGGGTCGCTATGAGTTTGAAGCGACTTAACAGCACTAAACAACATTAACATACGCTCTGATAATGCTGAGCAGGTCTCACATCCTTACTTCTAAGGAGTATTTTGGTTATACTTTTGTTTACACAGATTTGTTTGTTATTCTGGAAATCCACATAGTACTGTCAATATTCTTTGCCAGTATCATAATTTAAAAGCATCAAATCTTCTCTGGCCTTCCTTATTCATTGTTCAACTTTCACGTGCATATGAGGCGATTGAAAAATACCATGGCTTGGGTCAGGCACACCTTAGTTCTCAAAGTGACATCTTTACTCTTGAACAATTTTAAAGAGGCCTTTTATGGATTTTTCTAATACAATACGTCATTTGATTTCTTGACTGCTTACTTCCATGAGCATTGATTTTGGATCCAAGCAAAATGAAGTCTTGACAACTTCAATCTTTTCTCTGTTTATCATAATGTTATTTATTAGTCTAGCTGTGAGGATTTTTGTTTTCTTTTTCATTGAGGTGCAATCCGTCTTTGATCTTCATCAGTAAGTACTTCCAAGTTCTCTTTGCTTTTAGCAAGCAAGCTTGGGTCGTCTGCATGACACAGTTAAAGTCTTCATCCAGTCTTAATGCCACATACTTCATATAATCCAGCTTCTCAGATTATTTGCTCATTGTATTTATTGAATAACTATGGTAAAAGGATACAACCTTGATGCATACCTTTCCTGATTTTAGAACATTTAGTATCCCTTGTTCTGTTTGAACAACTGCCTCTTGATCTGTGTGCAGGTTCCACATGAGCACAATGAAGTGTTCTGGAATTCCCACTCTTTGAAATGTTGTCCTTACTTTGGTATGATCCACACAGTTGAATACCTTCGTGTAGTCAATAAAGCACAAGTAAACAACTTTCTGGTATTTATGGCTTTCAGTGAATTCATCGACAAGATTCATCGACGTCAGTCATGCTGTATCCTTTGTTCCACGTACTCTTCTGAATCTGACTTGAATTTCTGGCAGTTTCCTGTAGTTGTACCGCTGCAAAAGTTTTAAAAATTATCTTCAGCAAAATTTTCTTTGCAAGCGTTTTAATGATATTGTTTGATGATTTTCACATTCCTTTGGGTCACCTTTCTTTGGAATGGGCACAAATATGGATCTTTTCCAATTGGTTGGCCTGGTAGCTAGCTTCTGAATTTCCTGCCGCAGATGAGCGAATGCCTCAAGTGCTGCATCAGATTGTTGAAACATTTCATTTGTATTCAGTCGTTCCTGGAAGATTGGTTTTCACCAATGCCTTCAGTGAAGCTTGGACTTCTTCCTTCAATACCATCAGTTGTTGACAAATGGGATTTCTTGAAATGTTTGAATAGCCCTTAATTCTTTTTGATACAGTGACTCTGCGTATTCCTTCCATCTTTTTTGGATGCTTTCTGTGTCATTAAATACTTTTCCCATTGTTGCTGTTGTTGTTGTTAAGTGCCATCGAGTTGGTTCCAACTCATAGTGACCCTGTATAGGGTTTCCAAGGAGGGACTGGTTGTTTTGAACCTCTGACCTTGTGGTTAGCAGCCCAGTTCTTATCCTACAGTGCTACATGAGGGTTCCATAGTCTCCTCCAATATGGCATCCCAAGGTTTGAATTTCCTAATCCAGTTTTTTCAGCTTGAGACATGTTGAGTGTGTTCTTCCTCTCTGGTTTTCTAACTCCAGGTCTTTGCATAAAGTATCTTTATGATACTTCATCTACTTCAGCTACCCTTTGCAATTTTGTTCAGCTCTTTTACTTCATCTTTGCTTTCGCGTCTTACACTCAAGAGCAAGTTTCAGAATCTCTTCTGACATATTTTTCCCCTGTGGCACAATTCAGCCAAAGATAGGTGTGATTTGAATAGTTTCACAGAATCTCGTTGGCAGTAAAGTATAGGGAGGCTACACTCCATTTTACAGATAAAGAAATAAATAGACTTTGCTAAAACAGGCTGCAAGTCTGGCTGGGATCTGATTTGGTGTAAAACTCCCTTCCAGCCACTTGGCCCTCTTGGAGACTTAGTGTATATACCTATAAAATGGGAACACAGACTACCGAGTAATGGTGCTCACCAGCACCAAGTCAGCTTAAGACATGGCATCAAGTCCAGACTTCACAGAGCATTTGCCTTGTGACTTTGAGGGTTCACCTGCCTTTTCTGAGCTTCAGTTTTCACATTTATAAGTTGAGAATCAAACCACCTATCAGTTTGTCTTATCATAGAAGCTTTTTTACTGCTGCGGTGCTGGTGTTTCTAATACCAGTAGGATCACCCACAGAGGAAAGGTTTGGGTGGCGCTTCCAGACCAAGCCTGGTGATCTAACTTCTGAACATCAGCCAATGAAAACCGTACGGCTCACAGAATGTTGTTGGAAACTTTGACTGGCTTACTTTGGGAACATGATCAGAAGGGATTGATCACTGGAGAAGGAGCCCATGTTTTTTGTTTTTTAAACTTTTTATTGTGAATTGAAGTTTACAGAGCAGCCCATCAATTTTACATTTAACAAATCATACACTTCGTTTCATGTCAATGATTGAAACCCCTCCATGTAACTAACATCTTGAAGCACGGGTGGGGTAGTGGGTTAAACATTGGGCTGCTAACTGCAAGGTCAGCAATTCTAGTCCACCAGATGCTTCATGGGAGGAAGCTGGGACTTTCTGCTTCCGTAAAGATTTACAGTCTTGGAAACCATATACAGGGTCTCTATGAGTTGGAATTGACTCAGTGGCACACAGCCCGCCCACCATGTAACATCACTTATCCCACTTCCTCCCTGTTAATCTTGTTCCCATGCCACGCTCCTTCCCAACTCTTTTGAACCTGAACCTGAACCTTAGGTAAATGCCGCCCTTTTGATCTTGAGTGGTTTAAAATTCCATGATGAGCACACCTAACTAGTGTTATTGTTCCTCCTACACACCTACTGAAAGTGCCATGGACTGCCAAAAGAACCAATAGATCTGTTTTGGAAGAAGTGCAGCCAGAGTGCTCCTTGGAGGCCAGGATGGCTAAGCTTCGTCTCTCCTACTTTGGACATATTGTCCGGAGGAAACAGTCGTTGGAGAAGGATGTCATGCTGGGTAGGGTGGAGGGTCAGAGAAAAAGAGGAAGACCCCAACGATATGGATCAACCAGGTGGCATCATTGATGACGTCAAGTGTGGCAGCGGTAGTGAGGTTGGCCCAGGATCGAACATTGTTTCGTTCTGCTGTACATGGGGTCGCTATGAGTCGGTTCCGACTTGATGGCACCTGACAACAACAACACACCTAGCTACTGCTTGGCTGAAAGTTGAGCCACAAGGATGACTTCCATTCCACACCTGAATGATAACCACTGGCCATACTTTCAGGTTTCTCTCATCTCTTTATGACCACTAAGTCCAGTCTTTTTTTTCTTCTTCTTCTTTTTAATAATTTTGAGTTTTTTCCACATTCTTCTCCCCGCTTTATCCGGACCTTCTTATATGATCCCTTTCAAAGCAGTTGGTAGGGGCAGCTGGGCACCATCTAGTTCTTCTGGTCTCAGAGTCGCGTAGATGGGTGTTCAAGTGGCCTATTAGCCCATTGGATGAATTGATACGACACCAGATTTTGTAAAGCCGCAGATCAGAAATGGTCATTGACAAGAGGTGGCTTGACTGCAACAATGGAATTAAATAAAACCGATGATCATGGAGATGCTGAGTGACCAGACAATGTTTTGTTCTGTTACACATAATGTCTCAGTAAGTCTAAGCCACATGCATCCAAGGGAGCTAACAACAGCACTCTGATTTTGGGTATAGCCTTGTTAAGAGCAAAAATTCTGGAGTCAGATTTGGCTTTCTCTGACTGCTGGTTCTACCACTTGCCAACTTTATGACTTTCGGCAATTAACACCTTCCTTTCTTTAAGCTTTGGTTGACCTCATCCTGGAAGATGAAGATCTTAATAACTCCATTTTCAAGGGGTTGCTTCTAAGAATTAAGTGAGATCATGCAGGTAAAGCGCTTAGTTAGCACAGCACGTGGCATCCAGCTAGCGCTCAATAACGGATCGTTCTTATGACTGAAGGTGCCCTGGTGGTGCGGTGGTTAAAACGTCTAAGAGGTTGGCAGTTCGAACCCACCAGCTGCTCCGCAGAAGAAAGATGTGGCAATCTGCTTCTGTAAAGATTGCAGTTTGGGAAACTATGGGGCAGTTCTACTTTGTCCTGTAGGGTCGCTGTGAGTCGGGATGGACTCCAGGGCAATGGATGCGGTTGGTTTGGGCATTATTACTGAAGCGTGATTACCCATGCTATCACGGTCCACACCTTCTTAGGGAGGAGTGTTTCTGAGAACCTGGGAGAGAATATCTGGTACAAAGTCGACGTTCGACAAAAGTGAATTCTCTCCCCCATCTCTCCTGCCCGCGGGCTCCCCAGGGACCCAGGCATTCCGGCCTCCAGCCGCCCCCCAGGCCTGCTCTCACAAAGGCCCCCATTCATGCCCTGTTTACAAAGCGGCCCATTCAGAAGGGCCCCCTGTGCCTCCCGCCCCCGGCTGCCCCTCGCGCCTGGCCATTGGTCACGCCCGCACTGCCTAGCTCCCCTCTCGGCCCGTTCTTTTCCCACGGCTGGCACCCTTCGCTAACTTCTGATTGGCCCGGTCAGCCAACATCTCTTCTGGAGCCGTCCCTTTGCCGCAGCAGACGCTGATTGGTCACCTCTGAGCTCGTGGGGGCGGGGCTTCATGTGCGCCCGCCCCTGTTTCTCCCCAGGCCGGAGCCTCGGGACGGCTCTGGAAGCCGGTGAGTGTTCGCTACTGGTGGTGCGACAGGGGTGGAGGAGCAGAGCTGGGCCTGGGGAGGCAGGAACCCGGGGTCTGCGAGCTGGGTCTGGGAAGGCCAGTATGGGCGACTGGGGGGCGGTACCAGCGGGGACACGGACACTCACCTTGGTCGCCCCGCGGGACAGTGACTTGGGGGAGGGACGTGGCGTCTACACTTCCCCAACTCAAATTCCTACTGTGTGTTAACTAGGGCTTGATCCCCTGGCGTATACCACAGATGGGGAAACTGAGGCTCACCTTGGGACCTTGGCCTCTGTAATACCTGAGTCATCGTCTTCAATGGCTCGCCCTCCCCCCTCCTCCCCAGCATGGCATTGCCTCATTTTCACATGTGGAAACTGAGGCCCACACTAAGAGGTCGTTTCAGTAGAGGCAGAGAGAAGTGGAAAGACATATTTGAATACTTCTGATTTGCTTTGGCGCTTTTATATTCGTAACTAAATAAGTATCATATTAATAGTTACAGGTGACTCATGATGTTCCCATTTCCCTCGTTCCCCACCCCCAAACAAAGGTTGCTTTCCAGTTGATTCAAACTCATGAAGATCTATGTGTTGGAGTACAGAACTAGAGTTTTGTTGGCGGTAATCTTTATGGAAGCAGATCACCAGACCTTTCTTCCGCGGTACTGCTGGATGCGTTTGAACCAGCACCACCTAATGAACTCCTTCATCTTACAGAGAGAGTGAAACCCAACAGGCTGGACAAAGGCAGTGACTACAGTGGGACAGGGTGGGGAAAACATTTAAGACAAACTGTGTACTAGGTCCTTTAATCTTTCGAATCACTAAGGAAGGTGGTGGTCGCTATGGCGTGTAGACTGGAAAGCAGATTCTCAAACCATTACGGAGAGAAGGAGGGGTTTAACTGAGGACACCTTCTCCCCAAATTCCTTCCTTTAGAATGTCAGAGAAGGCCCTGGGTTTCAATCCTAGCTCTCCCTCTTACTGTGACCTTGAGAGCACATGAGCACATGACTTCATCGCTCCATGCCTCAGTTTCCTCATCAGAAAAATGGAGATACTAAGGAGCTCTGGTAGCGTAGTGTTTATGAATCGGGCTGATAACTTCAGGGTCAGCAGTTTGAAACTACCAGCTGTTCCACTGGAGAAAGATGAGGCTTTCTGCTCCCGTAAAGATTTACAGCCTGGGAAGCCTGTACAGGAAACCCTGTGTACAGGGTCACTATGAGTCAGAACCAACTCCATGGCACATAACAACAATAGGATTTAAACAAATTTTTGTGGTAAAAATATACATAACAAAACAGCAGCCAATTTGACATTTTTTACATTTAAAATTCCATGACATTGATTTCAGTCTTCTTAATGTATTCTCTTTCCACTCTTCTTTTGCAAATGATTCCTCCTGCGTTAGCATGAATTCAGTGGCCCCAGCCCTCTAGGCCAGAACTCCTGTTCCCTATTTCTGCTCTGGTGATCACTAAGAAGTTTTGGTCTGTATTAAAAACAAAAAAACCCCAACCCACTGCCATCACGTTGATTTAGACGTATAGTGACTCTCTAGGATGAGTAGAACTTCCCCATAGGCTCTCTGAGGCCCTCAGTCAGGTGGAAGTCGGCTGCCACATCTTTCTCAGTAAAATGGCTGGTGGATTTAAACCACCAACCTTAGAGTTCGCTGCCCAACGCTGCTTAACCTACAGCACCACCAGGGCCCCTTTGGTTTTTGTACATTTGCTTATTTCATCTAAGTGAGATCGTACACTATTGGTCCTTTGGTGACTGACTTCTTTTGGTTAATATACAGTCACTTTTAAAGGTTCATCTAAGTCGTGGAATGCATGAAGACTTCAGTTCTCTTTGGAGCTGAGTCATATCCCATTGTATGGTTTTTTGTAGGCACATTTTGTGGATCCACTCATCTGGGTAAGGGCATTTTCGGTGGTTTCCACCTTTTTGTTGTTGTTGTTAAGTGCTGTGGAGTTGGTTCCGATCCATAGCAACCCTGTACAGGGTTTCCGAGGGTGTAAATATTTACGGGAGCTGAGAGCCTCATCTTTCTCCTGCGGAACAGCTGGTAGTTTCGAACTGCTGACCTTGCGGCTCACAGCCTGATTCGTAACCACTACGCTACCAGAGCTCCTTTAGACTATTGTAAAAAGTACTGCAACGAACAAGGTGTTTGTATTCCTGCTTTAACAACTTTTGGGAAATGGAAACACTAGGTCACGTGGTAATTCTGAGTTCACCTTTTTGAGGAAAACCACAGGACATATAATTGGATAGTCTTAGCATGATTTCATCTTTTGTGCTTAGTTTCTTTTTCTAACATACGTTTGTAGGAATCATTGTTTTTATTGCATGTGAGTACAGTTTGTTCAGTTTCATGGCTGTAGTGTTTTGTTATATGAATATACCACAATTTATTTATTTTACAGATGTGGACATTAAGGTTGTTTCCAGTTTTTGTTGGTGTTGCTAAGTGTCATCGAGTCAGTTCCGACCTATGGTGGCGGTGGTGGTATGCCGTGGAGTCGGTTCCGACTCATAGCGACCCTGTATAGGGTTTCCGAGGCTATAAATCTTTACTGGAACAGAAAGCCTCATCTTTCTCCCATGGAAGAGCTGGTAGTTTCGAACTGCTGACCTTGAGGTTAGCCCAATTCGTAACCCCTACGTTACCAGAGCTCCTTGTTCCCACCCACAGCGACCCTGTATAGGGTTTCCGAAGAGCGGCTGGTGAGCTTGAACCACCGACCTTGTGGTCCAAAGCGACTTTGCAGTCGAGCGCATTAACCCACAGCGCCATACCAGGACTTGCAGTTTTTAGCAATTATGCATAATGCTTTGCTTCAAAGATGAGGAACCTGAAACTAGAGATCAGAATAACTTTCTGTCGTCTCCTCTGATACTCGCTGTGGGTTGCACTGTTCCATTGCCAGGGTTGGGGAAACTGAGGCTCAGAGAGATGAAATTCTGTCTTAAGGCATTGTTTTCCGAGGCACTGGGATGAGATTTGACCCCTCGCGTCGCGTGATTTATTTCATAGGCCCTAATTCGCAGAGAGGGAAAGTTGAGGCCGAGAAAGCTTGCGTGGGATTCGATCTCGTATTCCCCAGCCTGGCTCCGCTCAGCGCCTTGCCCTTTGCCTGCCTAGGGGAGGAGGGGAACCTGGCGCCGCCACCGCCCACCTGGCGACAGACTTACCCCGCCCCCCTCCCCTCTGTCTATGGTCCCGCCCCCTCTCAGTCGGGGCAGGTACTGGGTGACGTCAGAGCCGGGGATCGGCTCCCGGGACGCGACGTTGGCCCGCCCCGCGCTGGTTAGCCGCGGTATCTGCACCTGAGCGCGCTGAAGCGGACCCGGGGTTCCTTCCAGTGTGCTCTCCCCATCTCCCTGATCCCGGCATAAGCCGGCGCCCCCAGGTATTTCCTATCGGACAGAGGTGACGGCTACAAGAGCGCTCTGGTCCCGGGCGCTCGGACTCCTCGATCCGAGGGGTACGAGGGCTGGGAATCCTTGGTCTGAGGGCGGAGGGAGTTGGGACCCTGGGTTCCTGAGTCTGGGGGAAGATGGAGTCGAGAGCCCGGACCCCTGGATCTGAGGAGGGGACTGGACCCCGGACTCCTGGGTCTGAGGAAGGAAGGCGTTAGAACCCTGGACTCTTGAGTCTGGGGGAGGTGGGATTCCCGAGTCTAAGGGAGGAGGGGGCTGGACCCCGGACTCCTGGTTCTGAGGAAGGAAGGGGTTGGAACCCGGGACTCTTTGAGTCAGGGAGAGGACGAGCCGGGGGCCAGGACTCCTGGGTCTGGGGGTGGAGGCGTTAGGAGCTGGGACGTTCGGGTCTGAGGGAGGAGGGGACCGGGACCCGGGGGGCTTGAGTCTAAGGGAAGCGAGGCCCTGGAACGTCCTGGGCTAAGGGAGGAGGGGGCTGGGACTCCCGAATTGTAGCACTAAGCTGAGGTCAGAGAACTGGCTGCCAAGAGCCCCAACCCCTGCCCCAGGGGCGGATCCCTGGCACCTTTTCCTTTTTCGAGTCTAGCAGTCTCTGCCCCTCCCAGAGCAGGTGCTTTCACCTGCCCAGGTGACGGGAATGAGCTCTGGCTGAGGCGGTTTGGAGTTGAGACCGGGAGGTCCGCCCCGGGCAGGGCTGCTGGTCTAACTCTGAAGCCAGCATCCTCACCTGACTGGCTTTGTGAGGTGAGGAGGCCTGGACTGACTCAGGGTCTAAAGGAGGAGGGGGCTGGGCCCGGGACTCTTGGGCCTTTAGGGAGAGGGGCTAGGAGCGGAACTTCTGGCTCCACAGATGAAAAGTTTAGGGCTAACTGATTGCAAAAGGTTAGCAATCCTCTTCCTGGTCAAAGGCCAAAGGGCTGGAGAGGAAGTGGGTGGGGTGAAGGTGGGGGATAAAGTCCCAGGGATCAAGGATCACACAGGAAGCCTGGGGTGAGCCTTGGGAATTTGGGGCCCAGAAAGTAGAGGAACCCCATCAGCTGGTGTTGGAGACTTGCAGTTGTCAGAGAGCAGCTTTGAAACCCCAGAGCCTCAGGGGCAAGAGGTACTGGAAGCCAGTGCTGGGGGGTGGGAGGAAAGAGATCTTGTCAGCTAGAGCTGAGTTCCTAGCTGGGACAGGCTCTGAGGGAAAAATAAGGACCTGCTAGGTCTAGGTCTGGGGATGTCTTGAGATGAGTTGTGTGTTTAAAGGAACTTCTGGGGGGGTGTTGGAGATCGACTTTCTTGTACCATAGACATAGGGTGCCCTCCCACCTCAGGGCCTTTGTCCTGGCTGTTCCCACTGCCTGGAACACTTCAGTGTTTCTTAAGTATCCACAGAGAGAAATGTGGGCATTGATGGGGCATCTGAAACAGTGGAAGAAAAGAGGGGCCAGGAGACTTTAGGAGTAGGGTGCCCTGAAGGGTAGGGACAATGCTTGGATTATTCTAGACTTACTGTAGTCTGTATCCTTGTCTTTGGTTCCCTTAAAGGCAGAGAATGTTCTAGTACATTCTAGTACATTTACCCAGTTGCGCCCATAATAGCTCATAGCACACTGGCTTGGGATGGTCCACTCCTAGACCAGGAGCTGCTGGAGACAGGCAGAGTCCTGGTCTGGGTCCCCAGGCATGCTCTGGGCTGGGCCTGGTATTTGAGAAGTCTCAGAAAGTGAATGAATGGTGCCAGTGTACCCATTTTAGAAACAGAAACTGAGGCAATAAGGCTGGAATCTGTTCTTCAGGCATGGAGCAGAGCTCAGGTAGTCAGGAAGCCTGAGTGACATAAATCACATTTAACACCCTGCCCTGGCTCCTGTCTCACTCAGAGTAAAAGCATTGTGGCCTACAAGGCCCCCTTTGTCCCTTCTTTGAGCTCATCTCTCTGTTTCAGCCACATCGGCCTCCTTGTCGTGTCTTGGACAGACAGGCATCTTCCCACCTCAGGGCCTTTGCACAGGCTGTTCTACTGCCTGGAATCCCTCAGTGTTTCAATGCAAAGGGCCTGGAATGTTTTTCCACCAAACACCTCCATGGCTCCTTTCTTTCCCTCCTTTAGGTCTTCATTCAAATGCCACATCAGAGAGGTTCTCTCTGTCCACCGTAATTAAAATTGCAACACTCTTCTCAGCTCTAATATCCCCTGTTCTCTGCTTTATTTTTCTCCTTGGCATTTCTCAGCATTTAACAAACTATATAATTTACTTCTTTATCTTTTTATCTGTCTCCTGGGATTAGAGCAGTACTGTACAATAGAAATATCAGTGTCCGCCAAATGTATAATTTACAATTCTCTAGTAGGCACATTAAAGAAAACGTCTTAATAAGACATCATACATGCTTTTTGTTCTACACAGTCTTTGAAATCTGGGCTGGATGTTCCCTTTATAATCTATCTCAGTTTAGACTTGCCACATTTCAAGGGCCTGCCAGCCCTACGTAGCTGTTGTTGTTATAGCAAACCTGCATAGGGTTTCTGAGGTAGTGTAGCTTTGTGGGAACAAACAGCCTCATTTTTCATCTATTTACATTTAAAATGAATGAAAATGAAATAAAAGTTAACAATTCACTTTTCTCAGTTCCACTCATTCAAGGCCACGTGGTGAGTGACCTGCAGAGTGGACTGAGCTCCATTTCTAGTTTGTTCATATCTCACCAGTACCTAGAACAGAGTCTGTTCCTCAGTAACCAACAAAAAACAAACCCAAGGCCGTGGACTCCATTCCATCTCATGGCAGCCCATTTGTTACAGAGTAGAACTGTGCCTTAGAGTTTCCTGGACTGTGATCTTTATGGCGAGGAGCCCCGGTGGCACTGTAGTATAAGCACTGGACTGCTAACCAAAAGGTGAGCAGTTCAAATCCACCAGCTGCTCCATGGGAGAAAGATGAGGTTTTCTGCTCCTGTAAAGATTTACAGCCTCAGAAGCCTATACAGGGTTCACTGTGAGTCAGAATCAATTTGAGGGCAGTGAGTTAATCTTTATGGAGGGTTAAACATTTGGTTGCTAACTGAAAGGTCGGTGGTTTGAACCCACCCAGCGGGAGAAAGACCTGTCAGTCTGTTTCTGTAAAGATTGCAGCCACTGGGTCAGTTCTCTGTCACGTGAGATCACTGTGTGTCAAAACTGACTCGATGGCATCTAACAACAGCAACATAATTTTTGTGGGAGTGGATTGCCAGGACTTTCTTCCATGGTACTGCTGGGTGGGCTTGAATCACTCACCTTTAGGTTAATCGTCAAGTGCAAATCATTTGTGATACCTAGGGCCCCACTTGGGAGTCCTCCTGTGGTACCGTAGGATAAGGACTAGATTGCTAACTGCAAGGTCGGTGGTTCAAACCTCAGAAACCCAATACAGAGTCAATATGAGTCAGAACTGACTTGATGGCACTTAACAACAACAATAAAGGGACACAACTTCCCACTGCTGTGGAATCAGTTGTGACTCATAATGACCCGTTAGAACAATAAGAGAACTGTGCTCCCTAGGGTCTCTGAGAATAGACAGCTTCATCTGTCTCCCATGGAGCTGTTGGTGGATTTGAACCTCTGACCTTTAAGTTAGCAGGTCAATGTTTAACACCCAGAACTCAAACCCATGGCTACAGAGTCAATTCTGACTTTCAGCAACCTTATAGGACAGAATAAGGAGCTCTGGTAGCGTAGTGGTTACAAGTCGGGCTGCGAGCCGCAAGGTCAGCAGTTCGAAACTACCGGCTGTTCCACGGGAGAAAGATGAGGCTTTCTGCCTCGGAAACCCTGTACAGGGTCACTATGAGTCGGAACCGACTCCACGGCACATAACCAACCAACCAACCATAGGACAGGGTAGAAACTGCACCACAGGGGTTTCAGAGGCTCTAAATCTTTGAGCAGACAGCCTCATCTTCTCCCCCTACTCCCAGCCCCAAGGAGCTGCTGGTGGAATTAGAAACTGGTAACTTTGTGGTTGAAAATCCAGTGCTTAGACTACTGCGGCACCACAACTCGTGCTTAACACAGTAAGTGCTATTGCTATAATGAACTAATACATGAGTAAAGATTTGAATGAATGGAATAAAGCTGTCTGTTGTTATTGATTACTATAGAAGCAATTCCCACTGCTGGATGACCCATGTGTGTAGAGTACAACTGTGTTCCAGAGGGTTTTCAAGGTTTGGAAGCAGTTCACCAGGCCTTTCTTCCAAGGTACCTCTTATGTGGTTTGAACCACTAACTTTTTGACTAGGCGCCTCCTCGTGCGTGCTCTTTGCAAATGTGTAGGATGAGGTCCAGCAAAGGAAGGCTGTCAGGATTGCCTGGGAGCAGGTTGGGATGTAGGGGCACTGACCCTACCTGATGTCTGCCTCTCTCTCCACCCCCTGCAGACCATGGCAGCAGTGACGATGTCGGTACCAGGCCGGAAGGCGCCCCCCAGGCCGGGCCCAGTGCCCGAGGCAGCCCAGTCATACCTGTTCACATCCCGCATGGCCGGCATGGGTGGCGGGCCAGGCAGCGGGCCTGGGGGCTCGGCCACCTCGCCGCAGGTAGAGTGGACGGCCCGGCGCCTGGTGTGGGTGCCGTCAGAGGTCCACGGGTTCGAGGCGGCAGCGCTGCGGAATGAGAGTGAGGAGGAGGCGGAGGTGGAGCTGGCGGAGAGCGGACGGCGGCTGCGGATTCCGCGGGACCTGATCCAGCGCATGAACCCACCTAAGTTCAGCAAGGCCGAAGATATGGCGGAGTTGACCTGCCTCAACGAGGCCTCGGTTCTGCACAACCTCCGTGAGCGATACTACTCCGGCCTCATCTACGTGAGTGACCGCCGGCGCCGCCTAGCGGGGAGGAGGCGTTGTCTCGGGTGGAGAATTTGGGAATGGAATCCTCGAGTGGGGACGGATTGAAATTGTACTCATTTGTTTCTGAGACTCGGAGAGATGAGTTGCTTTTAGATGCTGTGAAGTGTTTCCGACTGACTCATAGTGATTCCATGTGTGCAGGGTAAAACTGCTGCTTGGGGCTTTTTTGTTTGTTTTAACAGCTTATTTTATTTTTGCTTTTGAGACTATGCGCAGCAGAACACACCACCAGTCCAATGTACCCTGATTCCATTCTTTGAGTTGAGCAGCTATGCTCACCCTCCTTTTTGAGTTGTTTCTCCCCCACTCACATGAACTCACTGTCCCTTCAGTTTCCTATCTAATCTTTCAAGTTACCTTAAAAATAAGAAAAGAACAAAACCACTGCTAACAAGTCAATTCCAACTCATTGCGACCCTATATTGGGTTTCTGAGACTATAAATCTTTACAGGAATAATCAGCCTCACCTTTCTCTTGCTGAGCAGCTCTGGTGAGTTTGAACTGCCAATTTAGCAGTTAGCAGTCCAGTGCTTGCTTACCTTGCAGTTCCTCCAGGGCTCCTCATGTTTCAAGTTGCTGTTGTCAATGTAATTGCATATAGACAGTTCTTAAAAGAACACAATGCTCAAGGCAGACGTTATTAAATTAAGCTAAACTAGTGATTGGTTTTAAGGAGACTTCAAGGGATAGTTTTGGCTTAAGGTTGAAAGATGATCTCAGGGCAATAGTTTCAAGGAGTTCATCCACCCTAAAGGACTCCACAAAGTGTGACTGCTATGAGAATTTGTAATTCTGTTCTGCAGTTCCTAGGGTTTGACCTGTGACCTTTCAGAAGCAGATAGCCAGACATTTCTTTGGAGGCACATCTGAGTAAGTCTCTAAGCATTCAGCCGGCGCTCAATTGTTGGGTGAGATTTAAGAAGGCAGTATTCTATCTATCTGATATACAGTCACTGACTCACAATTCCAAAGCCCCAAATGCTGTAGAAACTAGAAATATATTCCTGAGACTTGGCTCCAAAATCCTGCCTAAATTAACGGGAAGTCATTGATAATCCATGGTGTGTGACAATTTCTATACTCAGTTGATTAGTTATAAAGAGTTGGATTATGAAGGCTGCATCAGACGCCGTTGCGGGTGTCACATAATATACGGCAGATGCACAATGTGATTTTTCTGAAGTGTACAAAATTTTGAATTCTTAACTGCAACTCATCCAAGTCTTTTGAAAAACGGTTTACGGATCTGTGTTAATGAGAACCAATCAATATGGACAGCTGAATGCTCAGTGCTAAATGCCTTCCTTTTATTATTTCATTTAATCTCACCTTACACAAGGTAGAGTCTATTATTATCCTAATTTACATGAGAGGAAACTAAGGCCCAGACAGATTTAATTCTAATAATAAATAACCTTCCTTAAGCACTTACTAAGTACTCTCCTAAAGGTACCTCAGGTAGCACAAGTTGTTTGTGGTACTCTTAACATAATGAGTGGTGGTGTCACGGAAGAAATGCCTGGCAGTCTGCTCCATACAGAGTATGGCTAAGAAAGCCATATGAAGTAGTTCTACTCGGCAACACATACGGTCGCCGTGAGTTGAAATCGATTTGATAGTGGATTTGGTTTTTGTAAATACCTTCTTCTTGTTGTCGGTAAGTACCCTTGAATTAATTCTGACTCATAGCAACCCTGTCTAGGGTTTTCAAGGAGCTGTTGGTGAGTTTGAACCACTGACCTTGTGGTTCAAACCAATCCTGTGGTCCAGTGCTTTGTCCCACAGCGCCACACCAGGACTGAGTCCAAATACTTTCCAAGCACTGTAAAACATATTGTCTCTACGCATTTTCACAACTCGAAATCATTTTTCTCCCCACTTTACTGATAAACTAACAGAGACACAGAGAGGTCAAGTCCTCTGCCTAAAATCACCCAGTTGGGCATGGCAAACCTGGGTAGTGTCGCTCTAAACGTTCCCACTTTGCTGTGATGCTCGTTCAGATTAAGATGAGATTAACGACGGTGACTTTGACTGTGCTTGTCTACCCAGCTTCGTGCCATATGTGTTCAATGATGTCACCTTATTTCATCTTTACAGCAAACACATGGGTAGGGCTGTGGTTCTAAACCCTGGCTTCACATTAGAATCACCTGGACAATATTTACAAGCTACCCATGCCTACCCCACACCCCCAAGGAGCCCTGGTAGCGTAGTGGGTTACAAGCTGGGCTGCTAATTGTCAGGTCAGCAGTTCGAAACTACCAGCTGCTCCACAGGAGATGAGGCATTCTGCTCCTGTAAAGATTTACAACTTAAGAAACACTATACAGGGTCACTATGAGTCGGAACTGACCAGTGGCACACAACCACCAACCCCTACTTCCAAGAACCCTAGTGATGCATTGGTTAAGCGCTTGGGCATTAACACTTGGTTGTTTTAAGTACAGTCAAGTTGGTTCCGACTTAGAGAATTCCGTATAGGGCTTCCCAGGACCTTGCAGTTAGCTTATTCTACAGCACCGCACCAAGACGCCCCTGTTAAGATTGTTGTTGTTAAGGATTGTTGTTGTGAAGTGCTCTGGAGTCGGTTCCAACTCATAGTGACCCTGTATAGGGCTTCCGAGGAGCAGCTGTTGAGTTTATACTGCCCACCTTGTTTGAAGTCCAGTGCTGATCCTACAGTGCCACATCAGGAGTCCTCTGTTAAAGTTTGTTGTTGTTGTTGTTAAGTGGTGCCGTGGAGTGGATTCCGACTCATACTGATCCTGCACAGGGTTTCCGAAGCTGTAAATCTTTATGGGAGCAGAACTCCTCATCTTTCTCCCACAGAGCCGCTGGTAGTTTCGAACTGCTGATCTTGAAGTTGGCAGCTTGACTCGTAACCACTACGCTACCAGAGCTCCTTCTGCTAAAATTAAACTGTTTACGTTTACAACCTAGGAAACTCTATGGGGGTAGTTTCACTCTGCCATATAAGATCACTATGAGTTGGAATTGACTTGTTTGGCCTCTGGGGGCATGATGTGAGGATTGATATTTTTAATAGGTTTGTTTTAAGGGATACCCAAGGGATTATTAATTCCATTCAACATTACGGCAAACAGTTAGAGAGATTGACAAGGAATGTCAAGAATAATATAAATAATGACAGTGGGTGGTTGGCAAATATTTATTGAGCACTCACGATGTGCCAAGCACTGTTCTAAGTGCTATGGTTATCAGCTCACTCTGGCCCAGGGAACTGTTGTTATCCTCTGATGTCTAGGAATGCTAAGTGACTTGGACGCAGGTCACAGAGCAGTAAGCTACTCATGCTGGGATTGGAACCCAGGCAGCTAGACCCAGAGTCATGCTGTGATAACACCAGCTTCAAAAGCTAGGGGCTCACAGCCTTGCCCCTTTAAACTACCTCCTATTGAAGGTCCCAAAGGACAAGTTTTAGAATGTCCTTATGAAGTCCAATCCCATGGAACAAAGGAGGAGACCGAGGCTTTGAGAGGGGCAACGACTGGCCCAGGGCCTCTTCCCTTGTGGTGGCAGAGGTGGGATTTGAATTGAGGGCTCTGGTCCTTCCCCTACTGCCTCCCTCACATGCCTTCATCAAACCCCCATTGGCAGTGGCACCCCCGTGTGTTACAGAGCACAACCTGTTCTGTAGGGTGTTCTGGCGATCATGCTTATGGAAGTGGATCTGTAGGCCTTTCTTACCAGAGCCACTGGTGGGTGCAAATTGCTAAACTTTTTAGGTTCCTGGTTGAGTGTAAACCATTAACACCACCCAGGGGCCATTCCCACTGTTACAAGTCCTGGGAAAGAGGCCTTTGATTGACCTGCTTGCTTCCCTGAAGGTGGTCTCACCAATAGCCCCCTGCTGCTATAACAAAGTAACCCAAGCCACTCCCTCACCATGCTGGAGACCGGAAGTTTGAAATCAAGGTATTGGCAGGGCAGTGCTCTTTCTGGGGTCTCTAGAGGAAGATCCTTCTTATTCGTGTCTCTTCCAGCTTCTGGGAGTTGCAGAAAAGTTGAAACCCGCAGATGACAGAGAACAGACACTCACTAAATGCTAACGGGTATTATTAAGGCCTGGTTCACTTCCTGACTGGACTTTCCGGAATCTTCTCTCTCACTCTCATTGTTCAGGCTGCAGTTCTCTGGTTCCCTGGCCACACGACCTTAGCTCAGGTGTCCCTGGGCTGTGTCTGCATCAACCCAGTCGCTGCCTCTTCTCTTCTATGTCTGTGTCTTCCCCTTTGGGAAGACATTGTCGCTTACAGAGACCCTTGTTGTTGATTCCAAGTCATAGCAACCCCATGTGACAAAACAAAAGTGTCCCATAGGGTTTCCTCAGTCACCATCTTTACAGGTACAAACCACGTTCTTTTTCCTATAGTGCCGATTGCTTAACCTTTGCACCACCAGGGCTCCTTATAATGATGCTAGTCATTGGACTTCTGGGGTGGTACTGCATGTTCATGCGCCGGGCTGCAAAGTCGGCGGTGCAAGCTCACCAGTTGCTCCTCAGAAACTCTATACAGGGTCGCTATGGGTCGGAACGGACTGGACGGCACTTAACAACGACAACAGTCACTGGATCTAGAGACCACTTGGATAACCTAATCAAGATCCTTAACTTAATTATTCCGCATAGGTAACAGTTCCACCCCCTGGGGTTTAACACATGGACAGCTCTCTTGGAGGCAGTCACTGCCCAACCTCTTGCAGCCAGGGATATTATAGAAACACCCCCCCAAGCATTGAGGTACACTTTACATTTTAATAATTAGTCACTGGGCTCTCAGGAACCTTTGCAGCAACCTTATGAGGTAGTTGAGATCATCTCCAGTCTGCAGGTGGGTAAAACGAGCCTTTGTCCCAGATACGACAACCAGCTAACAACCAGCTAAGCTGGGATTTGAACTCAGGCTAATCTGACTCCAGACTGAGTAGCTAAATGGTTAACTAATTAAGCTATTAACAAGCCAAACACGATCCACTGTTGAAAAAGCTCAGGAAAAACAAAATTAAAAACACAGAGGTGAGTTCAAAGATACTAGAAGCCCACCTTGAAGGAGACCTGGGCCTCAGTATTCAGCATTAGGGTTGGTATGAGTCGGAACTGACTTGATGGCACTTAACTACGACAGTCATCGTTAACGTTTAGTGAGTGAGCATCTGCTGTCTTTGTCAGGTGTGGTTCTAAACATCTTTCCAATAGGTGGTCATGAACCTGCCTCGTCATAATAAGGCTGTGAGGTGAGGATGACACCCCACCCCACCCACCCACCGCTTAAAGAGGGGAAAGCTAGTGGGTGAGCCAAATGCTGATTAGACATGTTAAGTGGAGGTTTCGTGAAAAAATGGAATGAAGAGAGTGACGGAGCTTTCCGTAAACTTTACGAGCTCCCTCATAATGGGGCACACAGTGTTCCAGGGTCTGTGCTAAGTCCTAGAGATGCAACAGGACCTTGCTGATGACCTCAGGTGACCCACTGTAAGGAGTGCTGTTCCCATCCCCTGTCTGATGGACAAGAATGACCCAGATGCTTGCTCAAGAGATCCAGCTAGAAAATATTAGAACTGTGATTCAGACCCCACCCTGCTTGTCTTCGAGCTGAACAAATATTTGTTGGCTGATCAGCTGGTGGCGGGGAGGGCAGCGATGCCCATTGGAAATAGGCTAGACTAGTTAAGCAGCTAACTAATTAAATGGTTAATTAAGTTACTAATCAGCCAAGCAAAGTGGTTAGACAGGTAGCTCGCTAAGTTGTCTAGTTGGCTAAGTAAATAGCTAGTTAAATAGTTAACTAAGCCACTAAGCAGCCAAGTGGAGTCCTAGTTTGGTGTTGTAGGACAAGCATTGGACTGCTAACCACATGGTTGGTAGTTCAAACCCACCAGTTGCTCCTGGAAACCCCATACATGGTCATTATGAGTTGGAACTGATTCTGTGGTATTTAACAACTATCAGCCAAGAAGCAACTGGTTAGCTAAGTAACTAGCTAAATTGCTGCCTTTTACTAAGTAGCTAACTTGTCACGTGGTTAACTAGCCCTAACCAGTTGCTCTTTGGTCTTGACTCACTCAGGGTTCTGTCCCCTCACTGGACCCCTGGGCACCTATTTACCGAGCACATTTGATGCCCCTGCTCTGTGAGATGCTGGGTGAAGTTGCTGCGCTCACTCTCAAAACCTTTCAAGGAGGAAGCAGTTAAAAATCCCCATTTCCAGGGTTGGAAACTGAGGCTCAGAGAGGGCTGGCCACTTATGCAAGGACCCACTCAGCAGAAAAACACCGAGTCAGGATTTGAACCCAGGGTGACGCGGCTGCAGGTGGTGCAGGCCATTGGGAGTGCCTTCTCTGGACTCCGCCCTCAGTGGCCAGCTGTACCCATTATCTCCCCTAATCCCCACCACAGCTGTAATGAGGTGGGGTGTGGCGCCCCAGTTCCTAGGGAGAGTTACTGGGCTGAGGAGAGGGGGAGGAGGGGGCGGGATTCAGACCCTGGTCTGTCTCCAGAACCCTGTGGGCTAGGCCTCTCCAGCCCCGTGTGTCCCAGATCCTCACTGGGGGCACCAGCCTCCACCACTTACTCCCCTGGCCTTGGCGGCCAGCTCAGGTTCCTATTCCCGGGGTGTCGCCCTGGGAACAAGGTGTGGCTGGCAGGAGGGGGCCTGATGGGTGGGTGGCGTGGGGAGTGGGTTCTGGTGCCAGCCAGGAGTGGGGGCCCGGGCGCCAGTAGACATGAGATACCCTCGCAGGGAATGTGGCTGGGCCACCCCACCCCGCCTTTGGAGAGCTCCTGGGAGCACCCCTCTGAGGGTGGGGTGGGGTGGGCAGGCATCCAGAAAACCGGTTGTTCTGCTCCCGGCTGGCCACCCACCCTTCTCCCCGTTAAAAGCTTTGCACCTGGGAGCTGGGCACCTTGTGGTGGCCACACCCTCCTCTACCCAGCCAGCTCCAGCCATCTGCAAGCCAGCTAGGCCGCTCCATCAGCCAGGTAGCTAAGATGCAAGCTGGCGATGTTGTTGACTACTTAAATGGTTAAGTGACTGCCAACCAGCTAGCTAAGTAGCTAAGTTGTTAACTAGCTAGCTTAGTAGCTAAATATTTTTAAGCTGCTAACCAGCTAAGCAACTGACTAGCCAAGTAGTTCATCTTCTGGTTAGGTAGCTAATAGTAAATTGCTAACTAGCTAAGCAGCTAACTCTTGCTAGTTTAGCTAGCTTTAGCTACTTAATAGGTGGCTAGCTAGCTCTCTAGTTGTCTTTCTGTCCTTCCACGTGTCATATATGGCCCCTGTGAGCTACAGCAGTTCTTTAATCATTTCATGGTTCTTAACCTGAGCCCAAAGGGTTTCCGGATGGAATTCAAGGTGTCTCAGAACTTGGATGCAAAAAAAGAAAAAGAAAAAAAGGCATCTTTATTTTTGCCCCTCCAATCCGTGGGAGAAAGATGAGGCGATCTGCTCCCATAAAGATTCACAGCCTCGGAAACCCTGTTCAGGGTCGCTATGGGTCGAAACCGACTCGACGTCACTTAACAACAACAAAGCCCAGCTGTATAAGCAGCAACTGGGAACCTGCTCTCTGTGATGTTTCCATTATGTCTCAGCTGCCACAGGTATCTGCAGCATCCTCCCAGAGATCATCTATGTATTGGGAAGCAAGTACCTAAAAAATACACCCCCTTCCCCTCAATAAGGATCCCTGGAGTAGTGGTTAAGAAGTGTCAGGCTCCCCCAGCCTGGAGAAAGGTATGGTGGTCTCCACAAAGATGGCCGCCTTGGAGACCCTATGGGACAGTTCTGCCGGGTCCTAGAGGGTCGCTGTGAGTCAGAATTGATGGTACACAATAACCACACAATGGTAGCTTATGACACACAATTCTCATCTCGTTTCCTTTCACTCGATGATACTTTTGAGATAGTTCCTTATCCATACTCTAAGAGCTTTGTAGGAGACCATTGCATGGACAAACTAATTCATTTAACTGTCCCCAAGTGATGGGCATTCAGGATGTTTCCCATCCTGCAGCTACAGGGAATGCTGGAAGGGGTGGCCTTGCACTTGGCCATTCAAGCTTATGTCAATTTGGGCACGGCTTGGTCCTAGGTGTGACTGCAGAGGCTCTGTTTGCTGTCAGGATGACCGTCTGTTTTGCTGTTCTTTGTGCCCCTCCCTCAGGATTCCTTTCTCCTATCCACCTGAAACATTCCTAATAAATATTCAAGCCTGCAGTTCATGGTGTGAATGGCAGCCCCTTAGATGGACGCCCTTGTGCAGAGCTTAACCTGCCTGGCTGCACGCAGCACTCAGCCTTATATACCCAGCTAACACCCTGTCCCGCTCTCGCCCACCATAGACGTACTCCGGCCTTTTCTGCGTGGTCATCAACCCATACAAGCAGCTTCCCATTTACACGGAAGCCATCATAGAGATGTACCGGGGCAAAAAACGCCACGAGGTGCCACCCCATGTGTATGCAGTGACCGAGGGGGCTTACAGAAGCATGCTGCAGGGTAAGTGAGGGGCCATACGGACCAGGAGACACTTCGGTGGGCCTGGGATGAGGTGCGGGGGCTGCTCAGGGGGCTGCCAGGAGCCAAGGACAGGGTCAGATGACAAGTTGGGGATTTCAGACAATTGAGGTCTCTCGAGGGTTTGGGGCAATGGAACACTGAGGAGAGATGACCCTCCAGGCCCCTTTTCATCTGTGTAGTTATTCACCCTGGAGTCCTGATGTAGGTTAAGCACTGGATTGCTAGCCAGAAGGTCGGCAGTTCTAACCCACCAGCCACTCCTTGGAAACCCCTATACAGGGTCGTTATGAGTCAGAACTGACTCGACAACACTTCACACATGTTCATTCAAGGAGCCCTGGTGGTGAGGTGGGTTAAGCACTTTGGCTTCTAAACATAAGTTCGGTGGTTCTAACCCACCAGCCACTATTTGGAAGAAAGATCTAGCAATCTGCATCCATAAAGCTGACAGTCTTGGGAATCCAATGAGGCAGTTCTACCTTGTCCAATAAGCAACGTTACAAGTCAAAACTCGATGGGAGTAGTACGTGTGTGTGTGTGTGTGTGTGTGTAGTTTAAAAATTATTTCTATCATTTAGTATATGCCAAACCCACTGGCTGCTCCTCGGGAGAAATGAGGCTGTCTGCTCCTGTAAAGGTTTCCAGTGTCGGAAAGGCTATGGAGGGCCACAGAGTCAGAACGGACTTGACAAAGGGTGGAGACTTCGGTTAAGGATCCTGGTGGTTAAACACTTGACTGCTAACCTCTGTAGGAGAACTCTTCAGCCACCTGCTCCGCTAAAGGTCACAGCCCCAGAAACCCTATGGAACGGTTCCCCACCGTCCCACAGGATCAGTATGAGTCAGGATAAATTTGACAGCAATTTGTTTGTTTGTTTTTATACTTTAATTGTGTATTGTAATGATATCTTTAATATTTATTGTTGGTGTTAAGTGCTGTCGAGTCGGTTTCAACTCATAACGACTCTGTATGCGATTTCCAAGAAGGGGCTGGTGAGTTTGAACCACTGACCTTATGGTTCAAATTGACCTTGTAGTCCAGTATTTTTTAGCCCACAGTGCCACACCAGAACTCCATTTATTTATTTATAGCATATGACATATAATAGTATACAGTAACACAAGAACAGATTAGGAAGATGAGGCATTCTGTTCCCGCAGAGTTAGAGCCCCGGAAATCCTGTACAGGGTCGCTGAATCGGAACCAACTACACAGCACTTAACATTTCTACAATTTATTATAATTATGTACTTAATTAAGTCTTTGACAGCGTCAATCTTTTCTTTTTAGTACGTAATTATAATAACTTGTAGAAATATTGTTTATAATTACATACAAATTATAATAAATAATAGGAATGTTGTTGTTTATAATTAAGTACTTATAGGGACCTTGCATAAGGTTTCTGAGGAACGCGGGATGGGTTTGAACCACCAACCTTGTGACTAGCAGTCTAGTGCCTATCCTACAGTGCCACATATGTTGTTGTTGTGAAGTGCTGTCGAGTCAGTTCCGACCCATAGCGACCCTGTATAGGGTTTTCAAGGAGCAGCTGGTGAGCTTGAACTGCCGACCTTGCAGTTCAGACGGCTTTGCGGTCTGATGCATTAACCCACAGCGCCACACCAGGATTCCATACAGCACATAGTTAATATATAAGAAGGCTTTAAAAAGTTCATAGGAAAATCCCATTTTTTTAAATCTCATTTTTCCTTGAACCTTTTGAAGCCCCAGCGTGTGTGTGTGTGTGTGTGTATCTGTATTCGATAATAGAATAAGTAGAACACATTTCTATGTGATATATTTATATTTACATAATGTATGTGTAAAGGAGCTCTGGTAGCGTAGTGGTTACGAATCGGGCTGCGAACCTCAGGGTCAGCAGTTCGAAACTACCAGCAGTTCCGCGGGACAAAGATGAGGCTTTCTGCTCCCGTAAAGATTTACAGCCTTGAAAAATGAGTCGGAACCGACTCCACGGCACAAAACAAGTAGTTTATAACAAGTAACATTTGTTTTATATGGTTATATAGCATGATTTATTATATGTATTTCTTTTTTTATAATTTTTAGCTAATTATGTGTTGGCTAAGGAGGCCTGGGGACACTGTAGTATTAGCACTAGACTGCCAGCCATGAGGTCAGCAGTTCAAACTTAGCCAGTCACTCCATGGGAAAAAGATGAGGCTGCCCACTCCTGTAAGGATTGAGTCAGACTCGACTCAGCACCAGTGAGTTTGGTTTAGGGATATGTTGGCTATTATTATATCTTATGCATAAAATTTACACTAAAATAAGGGTGAGTGCTTACTCAGAGTCCCTGGGTGAATATACTTGGCTGCTAACTGAAAGGTTAGCAGAGGTACCTCAGAAGAAAGACCTGGCAATCTCTTTTGGAAAAGTAGTAGCCATTGAAAACCCAGGAGCATCTCACACCCACAGCCGAGCTTTTGCTTACCCTTTGGGAATGATTTTGAAAAGGAGAGTGGCTGATGTAAGGGGCCAGGAACCCGCTGAAGGGACCCTTCTCCAGGTGACACCTCCCTACCCTACTTCTGTCCTTTACAGATCGTGAGGATCAGTCCATTCTGTGCACGTGAGTAATCCCGGAGGCCTTCCTGGAGCAGGTGGCTGGCTGGCTGTGGCTCTGGAATGGGTGGGTTGTGGGGAGGAGGGCAGACCTGGTTTTATTTCCGACTTCCCTCTTTTCCCCATGTCCCTCCCCGCCATAGTGGGGAGTCTGGAGCCGGGAAGACTGAAAACACCAAGAAGGTCATCCAGTACCTCGCCCACGTGGCATCATCCCCAAAGGGCCGGAAGGAGCTTGGTGTTCCTGTAAGTGGCGTCCTGCCCCTCCCCCACCTCAGCCCTCTTTCTTCCTGGAAAAAGAAAACAAAACCCACGCATAGCGACTCTACAGGGCAGAGCAGACCTGCTCCCTAAGGTTTCTGAAATAGTAAATCTTAATGGAAGCAGCCAGTCTCATTTCTCTCCTGAGGGGAAAGCTGGTGGCTTTGAACTACCCATCTTGCAGTTAGTGACCCAGCGTTTAATCCATGGTTGGTTTGGAAGCTTCATTTCCTGAGCACCTCTTGTGTGTCAGGCTTGATTTCAGGATCCTGCAATGCCTGGGTTTGTGCAGTAAACAAACTGCCTACATAGTACTCCCTGCTGTTCTAGATCCTTTGCTTGTATTAACTTATTGAACACTGGGGCCAGGGCATGGTGGTGTCTTCCTGCATTTAGCTGAGAAACTGAGGCTCAAACGAATGGAATCTCACAAATAGGGGGGAAGTCAAACCCAGCTCATCCACCCCACTCCCACTCCCCGTTTCTCCAGCCCCTTTCCCTCCCACCCCGTTACCACCTGAGACTCCCCTCCCCTGTTCACCTGTGTGTCTGTCCACGTTCCATGTGCCGTGTCCTGATCCGTGTCTCGTGTCCTGTGACTTCCTCAGGCCTCCGCCAGCACCATGTCTTATGTGAGTAGCAGGGATCCCCCTGGAGTCTCTTACTCCCACCCCAGCCCTTACCTTACCCTGGTCCTCACCCCACTGTCTTAAGGTGACAGGACTTACGGCACAATGATCACACCTGCCAGGTACTCACCCTGCTGCTTATGGTGCGCCTACTGTGTGCACATGGCCCAGACCCACACTGTTATTTATGGTGCGCCTACTATGTGCACGTGGCTCAGACCCACACTGTTATTTATGGTGCGCCTACTGTGTGCACATGGCCCAGACCCACACTGTTATTTATGGTGCGCCTACTGTGTGTGTGTTGCCCAGACCCACACTGTTATTTATGGTGCTCCTACTGTGTGCACGAGGCCCAGACCCACACTGTTATTTATGGTGCGCCTACTGTGTGCGTGTGGCCTAGACCCACACTGTTATTTATGGTGCGCCTACTGTGTGTGTGTGGCCCAGACCCACTGCTGTTTTTGTTGGTCCTGCTACGCGTACACAGCCTGATGGCTGTCCTGTCACGTGTGGTGGTCCTACTGTGTACACACAGCCTGGAGCCATGCTGCCATTTACTGCTCTTCTCCTGTGTACATGCAGCCTGTGCCCACACTGCCATTTCTGGCAGCTCTACTGTGTGCAGGCAGACTGGCCCACAGATTACAGCATTAATAACCCAGAGACCAAAGGTTACCATTTATAGCTAACCTACTATGTGTGTGTTAACAGGGCTCATGCACATCCCAGACACCCACACAGACATTTACTGTACACCTACTGGATGCCCACCCCTGGCTCCCACAGCTAATTGAATGAAATGCTCAATGCCCTGGAGAACCTGGCTTTAATAAGGAATTGTTTATGCACCTACGACAGCTCAGTGTTAGGACCCTTGGCCAGGCACTGAGGGGATAAGACGTTATGTATGGAATGAATGAATCAAACACATGACTATAAACAGTCCCTTACTTATGACGTATTTAGGTTGCAATGAACTGCACTTGAAACCACCCATTTTTTTAACATCATTAGTGTAGGTACCACATGGCATGTTGTGGCATATCATCAGCTGTTTACATTCTCAGATGTAGTGTTTCCAACCCCCAAAGGTGAACAAAAACCAAGTTTATCAAAGGGGAAAAAAGCAATGATGGGAGAGAATGAGGTATTCAACTTCTGTCGGAACCAATTTATGATGGAGTGGTCATTGGAATGGAACCCACCCTGTGTCAAGGACTGCCGATAATACACATCTGGGGCTCCTGGCTTTGTTGTTGTTGCAAGTGCCATGGAATTGGTGGTTCCAACTCCTAGCGACCCTGTACAGGGGTTTGAACTGCTGATCTTGCAATTAGCAGTCCAGTGCTTATCCTACAGCACCACACCAGGACTCCATATACTGTCTGCTGTTGTTAAGGACCATGGAGTCGGTTCTGACTTAGAGCAACCCTGTAGAGGGGTTTGAACCGCCGACTATGTAGTTAGCAGTTTATCCTATGATACACCTCCTGTTAACAGGAAAGTTATAGTCTAACCATTCTCTGGTCAGAAGCCACCTGTGGCCCCCACCTCACACCTAGTCAGACATTCTCCAAGTATTACCTAAGTGCACACTCCTGTCAGTTCCCCTACTGCAGAGTGGTTTGGGCACTGTTGACAATTTGGTGCGTATCCTTGCAGACCTTTCTCTATACATTCACAAACATGATTATATCTGTAAAATTACCAGTATTGTTCAGTGATGTTTTTTCTTTCTCTATTTTTATAATGGGATCACAGCACTGTCAAAAGATTGGTCTGTAACTTGTTTTATTTTTCCACTCAGTTCTATGTTCGGAGATGTTTCCCTGTATGCTTCACACTAGATGGGTGGGCAAGACCCGAACGTGGGAAAATAGGTACACCAAGAATACACATAGGCCTCTCGCACACAGAAGCTCAGGCAGCTGTAAACAAGGACCCCCTCCCCAAGCTGTCCCACCCCTACCCCAACTTACACTGATGCACCATCTCTCATGCCTGGCAGGGTGAGCTGGAGCGGCAGCTACTTCAAGCCAACCCCATCCTGGAGGCCTTCGGCAATGCCAAGACGGTGAAGAATGACAATTCTTCTCGATTTGTGAGTGCTGGGGCAGGGCAGGACCTGGCTGTGTGTCCTGGAAATGGCCTCTGTGTCCTGGAAACTCATCTAGGAGTACAGGGTGGCAGGGGGAGGCCAAGGTGTGCAGGTCTGTTGAGAGAGGAGGGGGCTAGGGGCCAGGACTCCCAGGTTTGCGGGAGGAAGGCGCTGGGTATCAGAGGAAAGAAATTGAAGGGGGCTAAACCTTGGATTCCTCCAGGATCTCCTCAGTGGGGGTGACATAATTAGATTGGGGTTCAAGTGAGATAAAGTCAGGAGGTAGCTCCTGGCTCTGGGAAGGGTAGGGATGGGGGTGGTCTTCATGTCCCCGGGAGAAAGAGGACCCTGGGCCAAAGCTTCCCTACCCCGTTTTCTCTCAGGGAAAATTCATTCGAATCAACTTTGACGTTGCTGGGTACATCGTGGGTGCCAACATTGAGACCTGTATCCTCTCACAGCCTCGAGAGTGCCTGGGAGAAGCGGGGTGGGGACCCAGGAGGGGAGCCCAGGGCAGCCCAACAGCTCAGCTGGGGTCACATGGTCCTGCCACCCAGGAGCACAGGACAGCACAGATGCAGTGGGAGCGTCCGATGTTTTATAAAGAGGCTTGGATATGGGGTGGTGACCAGGGAGTCCCCAAGACCACCCCCAGGTTGGATGATTCAGTGGGAGGACTCACAGAACTGAGTCACCGGAAAGAAAAACGTGTCGTTAAGTCGACTCCGACTCACACTTGACCCTGTCTGTGTCACAGTAGAACTGTGGTCCGTGGGAGTTTAGGGGAAGCAGATTGCCAGGCGTTTCTTCTGAGGAACCTCTGGGTGGACTCAAACCTGCCACTTTTTCAGTTAGCAGCTGAGGGTGTTAACTCTTTGCAGCCCCCAAGGACGCTGGCCTGTTGGAAGGGTTTATGTGTTTATCAAGCCCATTTTGCAGACGATGAAACTGAGATGAGTATTTACATGACAGACCGCTGTCACTCATCCTGTTGTGGTAAAGCCACTGGCTTGGGCTTTAAATGATTCCACTGCTTCTTGGGAGGGGGAGTAGGGAGGGTCCAGGACTGGTGGGGGTGCTCTCGCCTCGCCCCTCCCTCCTTTTTGGTCCCTTAACTTCCCTCCCCCAGACCTGCTGGAGAAGTCTAGGGCCATTCGCCAGGCTAAGGATGAGTGCAGCTTCCACATCTTCTACCAGCTGCTAGGGGGCGCTGGCGAGCAACTCCAGGGTCAGTATCCACAGTCCTTCCTGCTCCCAGGGAAGTGGGTGGGAGTCACGTGGGGGCCCCCTGGGTCCCTGGAGTGGAAGAAAGTGGAGGCGCTCACTTTTGTTAAGCATTTATTTGCTGCTTGATGCCGGCATCTGTGGCTCCCCTACTCTTAACTAGGTGGCGGGCGCTGCCGCTTGCGTGCGTGCGTACTCGTACACGCTGGGATCTGCCGTGTACTCGTCTTGTGTGCATGATGGATTCCGCCAATTCATGCTGGGTCTTGGTGGGTCACGGACCCTGCCTGCCACGTGGGGTGTAGTGGGTTGTGTCGCCCCCAGCCCGTGCTGTTCAGCAGACTCTCCTGCCCTTTGCCTGCAGCCCTCCTCTGCCTCTGCACCTCCTGTCTAGGGTGGCCCAGCGGTGCTTCCTGTCACCTCGTGGCCACATGGCTCTGTGGTTCCTGCTTGCACTGGCTTCTGAAACGCCCAGGCTCAGGCCTGCTATGGCTCCTCCACCTCGTGGCTTCCACCTCCTCCTGCAGCGGGCGGGTGCTGTTCTGACTCCAGCTTTGCTGTGTCTCCTGTCACCTGGCAACTCCCATTCTGGTTTGTGTTGCTTCTGGGCACCTGCTACTTTAGAGCTACCCTCACTCGGGGCTCCTCGGGCCTCGACTAGCCCCTGCGGGCTATGACTCTACCCTGAGATTCCTCTTGTCTCCTTCCCTCCTGTCCCCATGGCCTGTGGCGCCTCCTCATTCAGCCTCCTCCCGGCTCCTAGCCCTACTGCGGCCTTGTGGCTGCTTGCTCTGAAGTCTGATCACCTCCTAGCTCCTGTGGCTGTGTGGCTTCTCCCCACCCCAGTTCCCACTCCCTGTGGCCCCTGCTACCCCCACATCTTCTGCTGACTTAGGCTCCTACGGCCTCATTGCTTCTGTGAACTGGGGGCTCCTGCTTTGGGCAATTCCATGATGGAGACCCTGTAGGGAAGGAGGAAAGAGGACTGTTGTAATATATATGCTAAGCCCCCATTCTATGCTGGGCCCTTCCCAGCCAACCCATGATGTAGGATCATCTTTATGCAGTTGATAAAGAAGAGACTGAGGATCGTAGTAGCTGAGTGGCTTCTCTGAAAGTCACTCGCAGTTGATGAGAGGACTTGGGAATTAGTCTGTTACCACTTAATCGTGTCCCCACTGCTTGCTCCCTGCAGCCGACCTCCTCTTGGAGCCATTTTCTCACTACCGCTTCCTGACCAATGGACCGTCCTCCTCCCCTGGCCAGGAGCGAGAGCTCTTCCTGGAGACGCTGGAGTCTCTGCGGGTCCTGGGATTCACCCATGAGGAAATCACCTGTGAGTGGTCCCTGGGCCAAGAGTGCCCCTGGGGAGGGTTGGGATGCGGCCCTGTGGACCCGGCGTGGGTCATCCTTTCTCGGGTGTGTTTACTGCTAACCTGCTGTCATAGTCCCTAGTGCTGCTGTAAGAAATGCCATGAGTGGATCGCTTCCACAACCGAAAATTTGTTCTCTCACAGGGCGTTGTCATTAGCTGTCTTTGAGTTGGTTCTGACTCTTAGCAGCCCCGTGGTCTATAGAAGGAAACACTGTGCACTCCTGCGTCCTCCTCACAGTCATTGCTGTGTTTGAGCCCATTGTTGGTGTCACTGTGACACGTCATCTCGTTGAGGGTCTTCCTTTTTTTCGCTGAACCTTTACCAAGACTGATGTCCTTCTCCAGGGGCTGGTCCTTCCCGATCACATGTCCAGAGTAGGTGAGACGAAGTGTCAACATGCTCACTTGAAGGCTGTACTTCTTCTGCAACAGATGTTTGTTCTTCTGGCAAACCTTTCAGTCATTGTCATCAACAGCATAATTCAAGTGCATCAGTTCTCCAGTCTTCCTTATTCATTGTCCAGCCCTCATATATATAGGAGATGATGAAAAATACCAGGGCACAGATGAGGAGGCTGGACATCCAAATTCAATGTGCCAGTTCTAGGAGAAAGCTTTCTCTCTGTTCAGTTCTTGGGAAGGAACCTTGCCTCCCTTTAGCATCTGTGGACCCGACGTTCCTTAGAGATCTCCATGCGTCTCCACATCAGTCTTTCCCTGGATCTGGGAGTTTCACAACGCAGGGACCCCAGTTCCCAAGGACTCAATTCTACTCCCAGCTCTTCTTTCTTGGTGGTGGTAATAGTTCGCTCTGAGCTCAGCTCGCTTCCCTCTCTTTTTACATCTTGAAAGAGAGTAACTCAAGATACAACCTCATGCACCCTCATTAGCATCATGTTGTTGTTGTTAAGTGCCTTCTGGTTGGTTCTGACTCATAATGACCCTGTATAGGGTTTCTGATGAATAACTGGAGAGCTTGAACAGTGAACAGTCACCCTTGAAGTTCAAACCAAAGGTGCAGTGCAGCGCATTAACCCACAGCGCCACCCCAGGACTCCTGTTAATATCATAGAAGTGAGAATTCACAACACATAGAATACTTACATCCGATCCCATGGGGGTGGGGTGGGGGGGTGACTGCATTATATTAGATCTCTTCATGGGGAATTACTAGGTCTTAACTTCCAAACCACTTAGAACCCAGGCGCAGCCAAGTTGATGTAACAGCTGGGAGGCAGAAGAGGTCTTGGCAAGTTTGGGGAGCTGAAACTTCTTGAGTAGATTCAGGCACCTGTGTGGCTGTGGGGAATGAGGAGACAGGACTGCAGAGGTGAGCAGGGACCACTCAGCACTTTGAACATTGGGTTGAGAAGCTGAGACTTTGTTCTGAGGGCACTAGGGAGCCATGGAGGATTGTGAGCCAGGGAGGGCTGGGCCTGCTTTGAGACTGTGTGGCAGATGGACGGGAGTCCGGGTGAGTCTGAGGATGGACTGTGAAGGGGACTGCAGGTGAGCTTGGTGGCTGGTGGAAGATGGGCGGTTGCTGAGACCTGGGGCCCTGGAGGAGTTTGGGCTTTGAGCAAGATGCTGAGGTCGGTGAGAACAGGAGGCAGGCTCAGGCCTGGGTCTCAGAAGCAAGACTTGAGTTGCAGATAGATGACCAAGATTTTCTCCTGGGGATACTGAGGAACTATGGAAGGGCTTTGAGCAGAGGAGGGGCAGAGCCACCCTAGGGTGCAAGACCTCTCTGGAGCTGTGAGGAAACAGCCAAGGCTCCAGAGAGAACCTAGGTCCTTGACCTGGGTGCCCAGGTGGGTCCGGATGAGGCCACAATGGGGTTAAATACAGGCCCACCTGGTTTTATGGTGTTTCCCTATATCGGGCTCCCCAGGTACAATGCTCCTTACAGGTGGAAGCTTTGTGGGACGCTTGCGTCGAGCGCGTCTACTCTGCATGCACTCACTTTGTGTCTCTGTGCCATATTTTAGTTATTCTCATGAGAGTTCAAACTGTCATAATGCCACTGCCCAGTTCCGTTCATAGACAAGTCCAGGGTCAATACAACTTTTCTTTGCACTAGGGGAACCCCAAAATTCCTCTGAATCACTAGCTTGTAATAGGCGCTATATTGCGGTGGCCTAGAACTGAACAGGGGGTCATTCCCGACCCCCTGGCCATGTGATGATGCCCTTTGCCTCAAATCGTGTATTTTAACAATAAGGTGTGTTTTTATATGTATAGACAGCCACCTCTCTCTCCTTCTGCCTCTTCCTCTCTCTCTCTCTCAAGGTCTTTGGGTGATTCACATAGTTTGTACTTTTCCATCAACAGATAGATTGGCGGTTCAAATCCGCCCAGTGGACTGTGGAAGAAAGACCAGGCGATCTGCTTCCTTCCGTAGAGATCACAGGCACGAAGACTCCATGGAGCGGTTGTACTCTGAAACACACGGGGTTGCTAGCAGCAATCACCATTGGAGCTCTGCCTTTTTTGTTTTTTGTTTTTTTTTAGTAGCTATATGACATTTCATTTCTGGAATGAACTTAAATCTTTTTAAAAACACAGGCCCTTAGGGAGTTTTCAGGGTGGAGCCGAGGCCGCCTGGTGAGGCTCATTCTCTAGGTGAATTGGGAGGGCAGGAGGCCAGCTTGACGGGTTCCCAGGTCCCAGATCACACTCGGCTTTGGACATATTGACAAAGCAAAGCATCTCTGGCCTCCCACCTCCACCTCCCTGAGCAGATTTCCCAATCCCATGGTTGTGTAACTCCCCTAGCCTGCGTGGCTCCACTCTCCTCAGCGAACAGCCAGATTTCAATTTGCAAACAAATTCAGAACTGGGCCTCACTGTGTGGCCTCAGGTGACTCCTAGCTCCCCTGCACCTGTTTAGCCTCACTTACCTCTCCTGGAGGCTCAGCCAAGCACATTCCTATCTGTGGCCACCTCCCCACCCCCCCACCCCCAGGGAGCAGATTAGAACTTCACTCTCCAGGGTTTAAAAAAACTTTATGGTTTATGTTTTTGGAAGAAGATAGCCAAGTCTTTCTTCTAAGACATCTCTGGGTGGATTCAAACCTCCAGCCTTACGGTTAGCAGAGCGTGTTAACTGTTTGCCCCACCCAGTTCCACCAACTGAGTACTGCCCGTGTGCCTATTCTCCGACATCCATGTCCACTCCCCAACATCCATGCCCACTCCCCAACATCCATGTCCACTCTCCAACATCCATGTCCACTCCCCAACATCCATGCCCACTCCCGACATCCATGTCCACTCCCCGACATCCATGTCCACTCCCTGACATCCATGCCCACTCCCCAACATCCATGTCCACTCCCCAACATCCATGCCCACTCCCCAACATCCATGTCCACTCTCTGACATCCATGCCCACTCCCCAACATCCATGTCCACTCCCCAACATCCATGCCCACTCCCCAACATCCATGCCCACTCCCCAACATCCATGTCCACTCCCCGACATCCATGTCCACTCCCCAACATCCATGCCCACTCCCCAACATCCATGTCCACTCTCCAACATCCATGCCCACTCCCCAACATCCATGTCCACTCCCCGACATCCATGCCCACTCCCCAACATCCATGTCCACTCTCCGACATCCATGCCCACTCCCCGACATCCATGTCCACTCCCCGACATCCATGTCCACTCTCCGACATCCATGTCCACTCCCCGACATCCATGCCCACTCCCCGACATCCATGTCCACTCCCCGACATCCATGCCCACTCCCCGACATCCATGTCC